AAATATGTGCCAAATTTAATGGTGATCTTTTGGGATCTTACACAAATGGGTGTGGAAGGGTCTCATATGATCATTACTCTTATAATAAATAATAAATAATAAATTAAATTTAAGTAAAAAAATTTATTTTTAATAGAATATTATATTTATAATTTGTCCTTGATTCTCTCAAGTCTAAATACAATTTCCATACACATATTTTTATAAAAATTATAAAAATTAGATACTGGTAACAATAATTTATTTGACCGAATCTTATAATTATATAATAGTTATAACTAATTTTGTCCCCAAAAATTAATTTAAAAAAAAAAAGAAAACAAAAAACATTAGTACGTGAAATATTCTATAATAATTGTAAAACGTAAGTATTAGTAAGAATAATTTATTTTTATTAGAATGTTACAGCTATAATTAGACTCTATCATTGTAATTATAAATTATATTATTTAAAAATTTATTATTTTTCATGCGTACTCTCTCTCCTCTTTATGTTCATGATTGGGTTTGTCTAGAGTTAACAACCCCTCAAAATACGAAGGTTAAAGTTAGAAGGGGTTGTGATGGGTTTATATATCAAAAAGTTGATTATTTTTTGTTTAAAAAATTATTTTAATAGGTAACTTAACTATTAAGTAAGGACAAATTTGAAATTTTTATAAAAGTACAATGGCATTTTGGAAGTTTGTGTCTTGAAATTTTATTTGTAAGGTGGCCTTGTCATTTAGTAAAATTTTTAACTTTTACCTTTTATGGAGATGACAAAAGTATCTTTTGTCCTTAATAATATTTAAAAATTAACTTTATTTAATGATGAATATATCACAAAAAGTTACTTTTTTAAAAAAAATAGACTACAAAATTAATAAATCCACCTTTCACAACTCTCTCTATCTTTAACCTTTGTAATTTGAATGTTTGTGAAGTTTAGATTATATATATATAGATATATATATATATATATTTACAATTATTATTTTGTAATAAATAAATTGTAAAATAATGTAATGTAATTATATTTAGGGTGTGGTTTCTATAAGGTTGCAACATTAAACAACCCAATTAAGGTACACCTCCAAAATTTATCATAACATGTAATTTTGATGTAAAAAATTATTATGATTATCTAAAAATCTATTTCATCTCTAATTATAACATTTTAAACTAAAAAAATGGATAAAATCAAGTAAATCTATAAATAAGTGAAAATCTTGAAAATAGACGGTTTAGATAATGTGTTACAAGATTCACTACTTCTAGGACTCAAGATTTTTTTTTTTCATACACATATATCTCGATGTCGAGATGATCAATTAGAGGGTATTTCAATATTAAATCAACCTTTCATGATGGATTTTTTAGGTGCATCTTTAATTCTACATTTTAAGATTGCAACCTTATATAAACTTGTTTCATATATTTGTAGTAAATAATAAATTAAATGTAAGTAAGAATAATTTATTCTCATTAGAATATTACATTTATAATTTTTCTTTGATTCCCTCGAGTCTAGGTATGATTTCTATACAAACATATTTCTAAAATAATTATAAAAATCAGATATTGGTAAAAATAAATTTTTTTTTGTTTGAATTTTACAATTATATTATAATTATAATTTCGAAAATTTATAATTATACTATAACTACAACTATTGTTTCCCCCAAAAAGTAATTGAAAAAAAAACACAAAACCTTGCTACATGAATTGAAGAAAATAGATAATATTACCCTTGTAAATATTTTATTGAAAATATTTTTCAATTATAAATATGTTTAAGTGATTAATATTAAAGATCACGTGCAACGCACATGATAGGGCTGCCGCTCTATCAAAATAAGTAAAGCCCCACATCGAAACTCACTTAAAGTTGTAATTCTGACATTAGAAAACCTTTAAATTGATCATCTCAGGCTTGAACATTATGATGGTCAAAATAATAAGGATTTCAAGCCCTAAAAAAATGTATATTATGATAAATTATTTAGACCGTTCATTTCACTGTAAAAATAATTGTTCAGGAATCTGCAAGATATATACCATCTTTTTAGCTTCAAATTACGTAGTCCGTATTGGAATTCAGGAGATTCTCGTACCCAAAGTGCTTGCGGACAAGGACTCGAGGTGAGATTTTACTTTGTTTTCATAAGGCGTAGGCCTTATAAAAGCTTCATCCATCCAAAAGTATCCTCTACGCATTATAAAAGCTTCATCCATCCAAAAGTATCATCTACCCACTATCTCGATCCTCGATTTCCATTCTTAAAAGTCCTGTCCAGCTCGCCCCAATTGATAAAACATCAAATACATTTTAATGAAGACAATGGATGAAGATGATCACTTTCACATGGTGTAAAAATGATAAAAGATGCCAAAATAGTAGTCAATGGGGTCAAGAAATATTAGGCAGCAGCACGTTTGCGTTATCGTCTCTTGTGGCCTTCGCATATGAGTTTTTGTTGGACCAAAACTCCACCTAACTTCTACTTACTACTCCGAGCCAATAATAAAAGGAAAAGTAGTTGATACAATGATAAGGTGTTAGACTTGCATAAAATGTCCATGTGTATTCATTTTCTAGCATAAATGGTGCCCGTATATTTTTTTGGGTGAATAAAGTAGTGCCTCTAAAGAAAGGTAAAATGTATAGTGGAAAAAAGAGAATTAAATTATTATTAAATTTAAAATAAAAATAAAAATATAATATTTTCAAATTTATGATTGTCAAGATCGAGATTAATCAACCTTTAAAAAATTCAGATCCAAAATCCATACAATACATGTAAATCGACGAGTCTATTAATTGATCGAGACTGGATCCATAATAAAAAGGTCTATACAAGGCATTTGCTACATCAAGAAAATAAGAAAAGGATCTGTGCGTGGTTTGTGTGAAAAAAAGGAGGCTTGTGGGTGTTGAACAATAGTTGAAAAATCACTTTACTGAAAAATGGTAGAGAGAGAAATAGTTATGGAGAATGGAATATTATTGTGAAGCTTATGGATAACTAGAGATGGACAAAAGACTCAGAGGGTTTTATGTGTTTTGTAAAGCATAGTGAGCCCCTTTTTATAAACATTGGAGCTTATCACCTTACCACATATGACATGTTTTACATAAAATGTTCTAAATTTCTTTCTGCCCAAATTAACAGCTAAGCATTACTTCTCCAATCTCTCTCTTCCTCTAAAAGAAAACGTCTTGATTAAAAAATAACCCTTAATGAATACTTAATGGGTAGCTTAAACAAGAAAAGGAGAATGACTTTTACTAAAAAAGAACAGTCAAAATAATTTAAAGAAGATAATACTATTATAAGAAGAAATAACATTATTAAACGTATTTTAAAAATAATAGAAAAAAAGGGACCAGAACAAAATGGCTTTCATGAGGCCACAAGGCCATACTCCAATAGTGGGTTGATTGGATCCCCCAATTCATGAATCATACTACAAGCGGTTTTTGGGCGGTTCCGATCATTTTGCTAAAGTGTTATATTCTCTTTCATAAATAATATAAGAAAATTCTATCACACCAAACGGTAAAATATCAACTATTTTAATATAAAAGAATGGGCCCAAGGCTAGGTCATCAGGGTGGCAGGGCACCGCTTGAGAAACGGTCGAGTGTGAAACAGTTCCAGGATGGCATGAGTCTCGAACCGGTTCTCTACTAAAATCCCTTATTTTATATTCTTTTCCTTTTTTCTTTAACCTTATCAATGTTTTTTTAAGTCCCCTAAATCATCACCTTATAAACTCCTATTTTAATTTTTAATTTTTAAGTTATTTTATTTATTTTTTATATTTCTTTATTCACCAATTCAGACTGATCTAGATTATCGATCCAACATATATGTGCTTTACATATGTCTAATTTTAGTCATTAACTAATAACTAAGAGAGAGATGATAATAGGCTGGCCTCAACCCCAATCACCATCACTAGTATAGGAAGTTGTTCCCATCACGGCTAGCCCGTCCACCCATTGGGGTTTTTAAAACAAAGAAGAATGCACTTCCACTTGGGGACCATGAGGAAGATGACCAGGAGAGGAGCCCCATCTCACCTTATTCCGCACGATCTTGGGACCCGCTCTTGGATTAACTTACAGGCCTAACTCTTCAGCAACTAGCTTAAGATTTGTCTATTTTTCGAATGGTTAGATTTTTTTTTTAACCCTAAGATTTAAATTGTTTAAAAAATAATTATCTAGTGATTCTTGAATCCCAAATTTGAAATAGATAACTCCTACGCGGTTGTTTTATGCCACATAAGGTGGATCTTAAAATTTGTAACCAAGATCTTCTCCTTTGAGCAGTTCCTTTGCTCGAAGGAGTAGACATCTATGTCATATTTGCTTTTCGAAAGATTCAGTTCTAATAGAACTTGTAGTATTTATTTTTTAATTTTAAATATAAGGCAAGCTGACACCACATTATCCATTTTATTATCATCATCGAGGACCACATTGCTGAAAGGATTCAGTTTCTATGTGGTCAAGCCCGTATATGTAGAAATATAAGCCGATGAATAAATCTTTTTTTGAGATGAATTTTTGGACTTAATTTTTTAAAGACATAATCTCTAAGATGGAGATCATGAATATGAAAAAATAAATAAATTTTAAAAACTAAAAATAATAATTCAAGAAAGAAAACATTTGGACAGTTAGTTTCTATTGTTTTTAGATGGAACACCTACTTGCATCTTTAATATGGATGCTTTACATTTTTTTGGACCGCATATGTTGTCATGCAGTTCAGCCTGGCATGAAACAATTTTCCTTAATGAAAATGTGAAACTAACTAGAACCTTCTTGCCGTTTTCATTCCATGAGGGAACAAATATACAGTAGAGTCCTTTGGGAACATAAAAAAAAAGAAAAAAAAAAAGAAAAAGAAAAAGAGGCGAGTCACCATCATCAAAGTAGAGACGTGGGGCGTCCCTTGTTTATAATAAATAAGAAAACACGATAGGGAGCAGATGACTACTAACTCCTTGCCCCACCCATTTACCACACCCCTTACGATGGCGTTGTGAGAAGAAGATTGTAAGGTCAGAGGGCCCCGGAAAATTTCATTTCAAAACCTTAGGTTTCCCACCATTTCTTTCGCCACATTTTTACAGTTGTTTCATTCCTGCCTTCCCTTCGTCTTTCTAGGGTTTTGCAGAGAGAGGGGGCATCCATGTCGGGCTGACGGTGCATGGTTTGGTGGCTCTCCGCCTCTCTCTCCAAAATGACGTCCAAAATCAGCAGCTCCAATTCTGGATCCAGGCCTTCCTCGCGCGTCGGTGCTGCCAAGGACGTTCAAGTAAGCCCCCGCTCTTCTTTCCTTTCTGCATTGCCCTGGTTTAGAGGTTTCCTTATCTTTCTTCCCTTCTCTTTTACATTGTTCCTATTTCTTTTCCTTAACTTTCTTCCCGTCTCTTTTACATTGCTCCTATTTCTTTGCAATGCAGGCTTCTTTGTTTTTCTTTTTCTTCTCTCATTTTTGTTGCTCCTTTTTTTGGAATGTGTGTTGAATGGGTGTCGTCTATAGCTATTTTTCGTGTCATTGTTGCTTGTTGATTTTGTTTCTTTTATTCTTATCGATATTTTACTCTGGATGGTATAATGCATGCCTGCCTGATCTAAGAATATTCGGGACTGCCGGTGAGATCTGGTTCCGTGGCATTTGGTCTTGTGAAGGAACAAATTTGGTTTGAATGAGGGAGTTCAAGGAATCCAAGCTTGTTCCTTCCACAACCAGCTAGCCCACCAAAAAATGGAACCAAAATGTATGAATGCAAGTGAGCTTCATATCCTTCTAATTCAGGAAATGTGGATCCAATGCTCTGGCTTTCGGAGTGTCAAAATTTCTAGATGCGAATTACATAGCAGTGAGATGTTGGGGAATACCCATGTTGGTTTCTAAGACAATCGCATGCGTGCCACTTTTCCAATTTAGACCAATAATGTGATTTGCTCTATTTTTAGAGATATTTTTCTCATTGTGATTTGCTCTATTTTTAGAGATATTTTTCTCATGTGATCATCTAAATTATGATACAATTGTTTCATCACCTTTTCAAGCTCAATAGAGATGGGGCCTTGAAGCACATCCATAGTTAGCTCTAGGAGTTTTGGCTTGTGACTGCAAAAGAGGTTAGGTTGCTTCCTTCCCTGAAACTATGGTAGCCCTTTCAAGCATGATACCCAAAGCTGACATGGTGGATGGGCTGGAATTATGGGTTGAACTAGTGAGCAAGAAGTGCTCTTCCCTTGGCAATGCTGGTCATGGTGGCAGGTGTATATGCGAACACTTGTATGATTAAAAAGTTCGGCTGAAGATGACTTTGACAGGGCAATGTGAAGGCAGATGCCTCAGTTACTGTGGCTCGTACCTCCAAAAGCAGATTGTCTCTTGCATCCCTCAGGGAGTATCCTCAGGCTGTCAATCATAACCCTTTTCATCTACCTAATTTGAGATTCTTCTTTTGATGTGGTTCAGTTGTCGATTTCATCAAGTTTTTGTCACAGTCTGTTGTTGCCCAGTTTGCATTTTACAATATGCAGTGACTTGCAATGTGACTTAAATGTACAACCATCCTAATTTGTGAACCATTAATTATTACTTAGTAGATAAAAATGTGAATCTTAACAAATAGTGGAACTTTCCTATGGATGTACTAACTTTCTCAGCTATTACTGTTGATGGGATAAGTGTTTTTCAGCTTAGCATGGTTGAAACATCCATTAGCCCGTGAGTAAAGTGTCCATAGAGACTAAGGCAGATGGTGGAGGAACAACATCTGTACTTTTTTATTTGTCCACAAGCCCAATTGCATGGTAGGTATGGGTATTGGTTCTGTTGTATTCGTGGGTTTTCTTCCTTTTAAGGTTTTTGAAATGATAGAGATTTCTGCCACATGTTTTCGAGTTAATAAAGAGTAAGCCAATTGGGTTCAGCTGCAAAGCTCTAAAGTCTATTTTAGCTTGGTGTCTGTTTTTCAAGAAATGTTTACAAAATATATTTCTGGCTAGTGTTTTTCTCATCTTGGATGTGATTTTAAATGTCTAAATGTCCTTCTTCTGTTAACTTGGAAATGTTGGTGGTCATCCTAAACCAGATAATATTTCGTTGTCAAGTGCAGATAATCGAAGTGACCAGACTGTGGTTTAGGACTTTCATTAATGCAAATATGAAAGGCTACTCATAGTGCATGAATATTTTGTTAGTCGATGAGGTTGAGGTTACACGCACTAAATTCGAGGGGTGACAAAAGTATGTGCATGGCATGTTTATACAGGTTACTAAAAAATGCCTGATGTAGATTTTGATTAAATTAATGCTGAAACTTACAAGCCATTACCTAGGTGGTTGGCGAAAGATGCAATGAAATTATTAATTTTGCTTATGCAAAGTCATACCCATGATGCTGAAATGCATGTCGAATGCAAATGTTTGTGGTGGCTTAATCTTGAAACGTGCAGTGGTCGCTGAAGGATTACTTTGAAAGGGGTAGTGGTTTCATGGAGGCTTGGCAAAACCTCTGCAATCAAACCATTGAATTATATAAATGTGTCATTGATCTCCTTGATACTAGTACTATGGAAATTATTACGGGGTCTAATGCTTAAAAAATTGGTCTTTCTACAAATGGTACTTATTAGAGTCTAATTGGCTACCTCTTGCTCTTACTTCATGTGCTAGGAGGGCATTAGCATTGTTAAGTTCAACTAATCCTAATTTCTGGAGGAAAGAGAGAGAGGGCAATACTTCTTCACAAAGCTGGAGCAACAGTAGATCCCATTCCATGTACTAATCCATCTAGAGCTATTAGGTCCTATATACGATTAGATCAATACCCTTGGACACTCGAAGGAACAGCAATATTATATGCAGATTACAATATAATGTAAAATGAAAAAGAAAGAATGTAATGAGATCAATAAGCATCACCTCTTGCCCACGAGGAATTGGTACTGCTTATTACTTATGCTCTTGATGAAGACATTTGCTTGGAGCTCAAATCAAACATGGTTTTGAGAAATTGATCTATTGGCAAGTCACTCTCCAATAAAGTTGTAATCTATGGCCCAGTTTGGATGCTCCAATAATTTTGTTCGAGCCTGTTTGGATGACAATTAACTTTATTTGGAATAGAATATATTATTTGAAATTAATATATTCTGGATAATAATTATTTCATTAGCTGTTTGGTACGTACCATTTATTATATTATAATATTATTTAATTATTTTACGTTTTTGGTGATTTTCAGCTTTTTTAGCTTTTTTTGGCTAAAACGTGTATTGCTAGCAAATTACTGTGAATAAAGTAAAAGCAACTTTTCAAAAAGATAAACTTTTATACAAAATTGCTTATAAGTCTATCTTAAATAACTTTATAATGGATATTACTAAACAACAAATAATTCATTATCAGGATTAATTTTATTCAAACAACAAATTATTAGTGATAATGAGTATGTCCAAACCTAGCCTTCATAAATAGTTTAAGTTCAAAGTTAGGGAAGAACAATTGTTTTAATAAGCATGGGGTATGTGGAGATATGTTAAATAAGCTCAGAATTAAAGGTGACTTCCTCCTGAATACTTGGAGCATACCAAACAGCACCCAAAAGTATTTTGGATTTTGTTAATTTAATAATGGGCATTATTCATGACTAAGTGGTACTTCATGGGTTACACTATTAGAAACCATCTATATGTCATTGAGATTATCAGTGCAAAGTTTCAATAATCGTCGAGGCAACTTAGGATCGCTTGAGTAGGCTCAAACTCATTGGGTCACCAGGCCGAGTCTCGCTTGGACTGAGGTGAGTCGGCTTGGAAACCCACCTGTCAATTGTAAAATAGCTTTTCTTTTGAGTTGTTTATTTTTTGGACTAGTCTATGAATTATTGAACCAGTTTGGCTTTTTTTATGAACTTTGATTGGAGAGAATGTCTTTGACAGCCCTCCCCTAACAAATTCTCGGAATTTAGGAATGATGTAAACTAGAGTTTGTCACTGCCATCGAGTTCTTATATACCCATCATATATTAATTATTAATATAGTTTGAATAATAAAATTTATAAATATTTTTTAAAAAATTCCAAGCATCTTAGAAAGTTTTGGCAATCAATCTGATGTTGTAGATCTAGATTCCCAATATCTCTGTTCGCTATTCCTAGAAATTGGAAGCGAGGTTTCATATTGGTTGGATCATGGTCTTGTGCACCTATGAATTGCAAAATTTGGTGAGGTAAGTCTTGATTCCAAAGACATTGGAATGAGATTACAAAAATGTGGAATCATGATTCTATTGCGATTCCGAGGCAACATTGCTACCAAGGGCGGATGATTTTGGTAATTATAGGCAGGCTTGTTATTTAAAGGTACAAGGAAGTCAAATTGGGCTTATTAGCCAAGCTTTGATGGGAAATGGGAAGTGGGGGACATTCCTCGTGGTTGATGATAGTTAAACAGAAATACCTTTGGAGACACCACTGAGGGGATTCTAAATAATAAGAAGAGATTCATGGACTTGGAAAGGCACGGCACAGTATCTATCGTTGAAGAGCTTATCTAAGGGATAGTTGGAAATGATGGGGTAGAAGAAATCATTGGATGCCTACTTGAGATGGAAACTCCTTCCTCAAGGGTGTCCATCAGGTAATTAGAGAACATGGAAGTACAAATAATGTTCTAAAAGCCATTTGAAAAGCCCAATTCATCCTAGGGCCTCTTGGATCACTTGATTGCTGACCAAAATAAGCTGCTCAACAATGATAAAATCCAAAGATGGGGATTTCAAGTGAAAAACACGTGCTATTCATTCAAAATTAAAAGCGAGAGCCATGACCACTTGTTCTGGACTTGCAATTTTATCCATTACATTTGTCAAATTGTGTTATGGAAGAATGCACATACAATAGCCATTTCAAATATTCAATATATCCTACTAAAAGTGATTTAAGCAGAAATTCTCATACAGGTTCCTTGATAAAATTTTGAAAGACTCTTGGACTACCATGATATGGGTGACTTGGCATGAAAGAAATTGAAGGCCGAAAGAGTACCAAAATTAATCCATTCAAGTGGTAATGAGAGAAATCACATGGAAAATTTGAAACTGCATTTTAGAAAATGACATATCACTTCCAAGTGTGTACAGTAAGAGTATCTTTAAGAGATGGGAATTGTGGTCAAGAATCGCAATGGCCTATTGGCCTATCAAAGCTAGCCAAGGAATAGAGGACTCACTGTATAGCGATAGATTTCAAGTGACCTCCCCAAGGCCAAATTTGTGGTCATAAAAACTCGGTCAAGTCTGAAAGACATGGCACACCATTACAAAGATGTGTGGAGTCCTTTGTCATGCATATGCATGCTCATGAATCTCACAGACCCAAAAGTCCCAAGGATCACAAAGACTTGTGGCTAGTAGGAACACACATTATGCTTGGATAAAGTGCCGAGGCTTTCATGTAGTTGTCCTCACTTGCCACCATCTACCATGTAGGAGACTTTTCCGTTTCTTGGCCAAACCTACAATAGTGTCTCTTTTTCCTCTTATTGTACTTCATTCAAGAGTGTCCTGGTTTCCTCCATGCTTAGCATCCACCTTATTACCGACCTTGACCAGTTGCATGGACTCTCCTAGGTGATGCACTTCATGGAGACTAATATTCAGCCCAGGGTGCGTGTCCTCTCAATCTAGCTTAAGGCCTAGTCGCATACCAACGCGAGAGTGATGAAGTCCAATATGTCCTAGATAGAGTCCGCCTCCAACCGGTTCTAATGGCCTCATTCATCCAAATAGATCCATGCACCAATAACCACTTTCATCCAAGTAGAGCCTCGTATTGCATGCCTTAGTGACCTCTTTCATCCAAGTAGAGCCTTGCTCTAATGGCCTATTTTTCCAAGTAGAGCCCAACATTTGCATGACCTCTTTGATTAATAGAGTCCACTCACATAGCTCCGTTTGTCTACAAAGTCGAACATTCTCACTCATCCTAGGAGTGGGCATAAAATCAATAGTATACAATCGCACCGCTCTAAATTGCATAGAGCCCATTGGTTGACCAATATACACTTCGACTCAGCATCGGGATGTCTTGGAGCTAAGGCCTTTAAGCACCACAATACCCTACAAAGGTGACCCATAGGTAGAGTGCTCGACATACTGTCAACAAAAGTCTTAATGTCGTTTCTTGGGATTTTGTTCGTTCTGTTGGGATCTAAAAAAAGTTAGTTCTACCAGTTCTTTTTAGTCGATACCAATAGGCACCAAATAATGTTTCATGGGTTCTGAGGTAGACTTGTTTGCATTGTGGCATTAGTATCTACCTTGTTTTGTTATTATTGCATCTTTTTTTCCTGAAAAGTAGTATAACCTGATGGTGTTACATTCTCTGTGTTGTTAAAGTTAAAGCTCAATTTAGTGAACAAAATCCTGATTCTTTCCCATGATTGTTCTTCCACTGTTGGAGGTGAACTAATTTGGCATGTTTAATGTGTGATGCCTCTTCCTCGTGCCGCACTCCTTGCCTGTGATCCTGTCAAAGATATGGTTTCTCTTGTTTATAATTTTAGAAAAATCAAGCTCCAAATCATATCACGCACGAGTAATCCAATGAAATAGAATAAAAAGAAAAAAAATGGAATGTGCACATGTTGCTAATTGCAGCTTGGATTAGACTTGTCATTATTGTTCCTGCACTTTACTGATTGGCTGAGTACAGAAATGCAAGTGTCCTTGCAATGCTGAATTTGGAATTTGTATTGAATTGTCGTGGTGAGAATCTTCATTGGTGTTTATTAGTCTTTGTACCCATTTCCTGGTCCCATATTTTGGCACTGCCTTCAAACATATGTAGTTTCTTTGCTTTTCTGCAATTTAAAAAGTATAGTGTGGTTACACTGTTTGCTCTCCCTTCTGATTTTCCTGCAGATGAATGATGGCCAAGAGGAAGCCAGTCAAATCGCTAGTAACACTTTAATTGTAATCGAGTCCTTGAGAAAAACAGTTGCTGCTGATAGAATTATTCATGTAAAGGTAGACTCTTATAGCACAAATAGGTTTGTTTTGTCTCAAGCCTGCTACAGTTTTTTTGGCTCCTAATTCTCATTATACTCCATTCTGTGATTCTTTTCAGCGAAAAATTGAAGAAAATAAGCAGAAGCTGAAAGTTTTCACTGATCGCATTCACAACTTGTCGAAATCTAGAAAATTGCCTATGGTCAACGCCGTAGACTCCAATACGGATTTGTTGACCAAGAGACTAGAAGATGCAATGTGTATGCTAAGTGGCTTAGATTTATCTGCTGGGGAAAGGGAACAGAGTCTTTGTGTTGAAGAGAGTCCAAATGCCTCTCCAGCTATTGTTTTTGGTAGCAATTCTAGTGGAAAAAATGTCTTTCGTCCAATTAAGTTGCCTGAAGAACAGAAAATTCCACCTTACACAACATGGATGTTTTTGGACAGGTGCAATAAATTGCTCTTTCTCATACACTTTGAGTATCTTTGAGTCAAGTAATTATGTTTTTGAAGGTATGCATCTTTGGTGTATTTGTTTGTATGATATCATTTGATTGGCTGTATGTGCGTGTTGGCATGAAATAATACCATGTATGGTTTAAGGTTTCTTCTATGTTTGCAATTGGTGAGAGATGCAGGTTTGGAGCAGATGCACTCACTTTGAAACCTAGCATATGCTCTTTGTTGCTATTATCATGTTAGGAAGTTATACATTTTGTTGCTATTATCATGTTAGGAAGTCGTACGGTTTATGTCACAATGGTTAGTGGTTTATTATAAAATTCTGTGTTATGCATATCTGGTTTATATTCTCCATGTTAGGAATTCATATATTTTGTCAAAACGATTAGTGGTTTATGATAAAATTCTGTCTGGTGTATATTCTCCTGAAACTCGAATTCTTCAATATGTTATTGTTACTTAACTTTCATTTATATGCGATTTGAAGTTGATATAATACAAGCTAGGGTAATCCCTCGCAAGGTCTTGGTGGAGATCTTGATAAGAGCATTTATAAATCATAATATATTTGGGATTATAGGAGAATAGTGCGAGTTCTCTTCTTTTTAACTTTTCTTTGAAGAGTATCGTTACAATACTGGAATCCTATATTTTGGTCCCTGCTTAATATTTTAGTAGATACGAGACTTACTGCTGAAAAAAACCCCAGAGGAACTCTTATATGGCTTACAAATAACTCAGTTATCTTGATAAGAAAGTGTTTTTCAGAGGATCTCAAATAGAAACATGGTGTAATTGTAGATCTCAGGAAAAGAGGTAAATTAAGATGTGTGCATTATATTGCATTATGTATTGCATTACAAATTCCCTATTACTCCTTCAATTATCCAACAAATAAAGGGCGGTGGACTTGGCAGGGCTATGTAATGGCTATTTTACACAAGGTGTGGCTATGCAATGACGCTAATAATAAACACTGTTAAACAACACTGTCCTTTATTGTATGTATAATTATGGGCTCCATCTCAATACTTGACTTAATATTTTTTTTTTTTAACGAATAAGCAATGGCAAGGATTTTTGCTACTTTACAATAAACTCATATGCTATCCTTCAAGAAGTGCAAAAAAACAAAGTAATAATGTAATGAACAATGTTAAATTACTCTACTTGGGCCCTGCTGAGTAACTCGGTCGAGTTTAAGTGTTCCCAAGTCTTGCTAGAGCTAAGAAATCCGCAAAGAAGCTAGAGGGAAGAGAGAGATTGCATGGGGCACGTGACTGAGAGAGAGAGTGTCCCTCAAAGTAGGTCACAAGCTTGCACACGAGGACGCATATCATCCTAAGCTCTTTTTCCATTATTTAAGTTGGGGCACCTCCTTTGAAATCCAAGCTTCCATCTTCTCTAGCTATGGCGAAATCGAAGACTACAATGTAATATGGTGAACTACGTTTTTTAGCATAAATCATAGTTCACACAAATAAGAAAAATCAGTGAAAAAGGGAAAGAGCTTTTCTTTTCTCTTTTGGGGTGGGGTGGCGTCGGGGGGGGGGGGGGAATAGAGAATGGTGGTGGATTTCTGTGCGCTTTTATTTTTTAGTAACAGTATCCCGGGTGAGTACTATACAGGCGAAGGAAAAAGACCTCACATGGTCTTTATTAATCTAGAGAAGGCTTATGATAAAGTACCTCGAGATTTAATTTGGTGGGTATTGGAAAAGAAAGGAGTCTCAAGATACCACATAGACTTGGTGAGAGATATGTACGAAGGAGCGCTAACTAGTTTGAGAACAACTAGTGGAGAGATGAGTGGGTTTTCAGTAACAATAAGTCTGCATTAGAGGTCAATGTTGAGCCCATACCTCTGTTTTAGTTATGGACAACTTAAATAGGCACCTACAATATGAGATACTGTGGTGTCTGTAGTTCACGGATGATAGAGTTTTGATCGATGAGGCGTCAACACAAAGTTCTTTGCCTCCAATATATGGAACTTAATGTGGGGATTGGCACTAACACGTGCCGCAGCCAAACATACTGTAACCGGTGGGTGGCAACTTGTGCATGTGCAATCGTGAATGAAATGTATACCACAAAAACATGGTTAAGAAATTTCACAATATAATGCATCTGAGTTTCATCGTTCATGAAGTTGTTCATGATAAATATATGCCTTAAATTTCTGATTTATTTTTACTTTTTAGGCACGTTTGGCACGTGTGAAAATATTTTTGTCAAAGTATTTTTACGTGAAGGAACCCTTATGATTGGGTTGAGACCAGTTAGTCTGAAAAACTCCCACACCTAATCACATGGGGGAGTTGTTTGATTTGAATATTTATGATTGCAATCGTTATACATTTGGTGTGAGATATCACACATTATGAGAAAACTATTTTAGTACGAATTTCTTGTTTCTTGGATTAGAGTTTCTAACTAAGCAGCTCGAGATAATCCCATACTCATTTATGTTAAGTGTTCTATGTTAATAATTTAGCACTACAACCTGCGATTTGAGGGGAAAAATCTCTTTAAAACCCTAGGAAAATAAACCCTAATGAGCTGCCCATATAGCTTTGATGCCCTCCTTTCATCCTTCTATCGTTCTGGCTGTTAGTGTCACACAACTTTTCCATTTAGTATGCCCTATACTTTAACCCTAATTTTGCTTTAACATCATCAAATTCTCCCATTAACCTACCCTAAATCTTACCTCCTTTTAGGCTTCCTATCATCCACTCCTACCTAATATAGGAGAATGCAATACATTCAATACCATGTTTTCCTAAAGTTTGTAGGAGATCTCTACCCTTTAGATTTTGTAAATGCTAGATTAATTAAAACTTTTCATCCTAACCCAGTCCTTCCTTCGAAGTCCACCTTGATTGTAACACTTACCTTGATTTGGTATATAGGAGCCAATCCACCCAATGTCCTAATCATAACCCTTAGAAGTTTGGCCCATATATTCATATACTCCTTTTTATTCTTTTTCCCTTTATGTATTGGGTTTGCTTATCTCCATCCTTCTTAGCTATTTGTATCTTTTAGAGTTTGTTTCTTAACCACAATTTATTAGATATTTTTTATATTAGGGCATGGTTATGAAATCTATCGGCTGAGGTCGTGATTCTGGTTGGAACATTAAATGCAAGAAAACTTGATCCTTTTTTCATTAAAATTTAAATACTCCACATCTTCACCCTCATTATCACAAGTCACAAGGCCTTGTGATTATACGGGATTTGCACTCATTCTTTTGGTAATTTTTTATAATGATGTTTTCTATGTTAAACCTGTGTCTGTTTTTGACACTTGATGCTTACGATATCAAAGCATCAAATTACTCGTCACCCAATCTCCAATTACAAGATGCAATCATCTTTATGTCAATTTTTTTGACAGCAAATGACCAATAAAAATCAAGTGGCCTATGTTCTTTATAGACTGATTTCATTGTTCATTGATTGTAAGTCGAAAAATTTAAAAATAATGTACACATACATGCGTGCGAAGTTGATCAAAGAATGACTTTGAAACTTTTTGTTGGATAGTTGAATTTTGTATGGCACTCCAATCTAGGCTGAATCTTGATTCGAAATGCCCATAAACCTTGATTCTGTATATGAAGGAATTCAATTGCAATTAGATCGGAAACTCGAATCCATACAGCTAGGGGCTGTTTGTGTACGTTGAAATCTATTACAAGGAAATAGATTACAAGGAACTCTGTTATGTACAGCGTTTGGGTATGTTAGATTAGGCAGGAAATGAATTGATATTACCCAAGAATATCCATGATTTCCCCTAAAAGCTTGTAATCCATTTCACGATGGTAGGGCGAGGAAATGGATTACACTGTGACAGGTGATCTTACCTCACGCGAGGCCCTGCGACAAAAATGTTCTCATTAGGTGGTAATCATAAATAGCTCACACAATTCAAGAGGTAAGTTTGTGTTGAAGTTCACTCTTTTGTGCTTCACCAACATATTCCCTTAGGGTCTACTCTAACATATGAATCTTGAAATTTAGTATTTTCAATTTGAAATATTATCTATGTTTTTAAAATATTCTAGACATTCTCAAATGAATCCCAATGTTTAGATAAAAACATTTATAAAATAAGATTTTTCTAAGAGAGGGTAAATATACAATATGGTATTGCAAACCATATCCTCACAAATTCCCCTTTAGATAAAGTGGCTTGGCCTTGGTTTTAACTCTCACACGTCATCATTACTTTCTATTAAATGTTCTAAAGCACTAATTTTATATCTTTACATTAAATGCTCTAAAGTACTAATTTTATATCTTTACATTAAAAGCTCTAAAGTTCTAATTTTATATCTTTTTTATTTGAGATTGCCTTTTAGTTCAAAGACAATAAATTGTTTGTAATTTTGAATGAAACTATTTTACCAATTTAGAACTTCCTAAAAGAAACTTTTTTAACAAATTTAACTTTTATAATAAAATAATTTTATTTTAAGCAAAATTTTCATGCACCATTTCCAACCCAAAATGACGATAATGTATGTCAAAATTTCTTCCAGACGTAGCCAAACAATAGCACTACATTCCCAGGTTGCATCCATATGCCACCCAAACAAGAACAACCATTTCCAGATAACATATTATGCCAATAATGTATTATGCTAGTAATTTATTTCACAAACAATATATTTTCAAATACCCAAACGACCCCCTAGGAATCTTGATTCCATTTATGTAGGGATCTCGATTCCATTTTGGTCGAATCTCGATTCTTATAAAATAGGAATCTCATTTCTCACGATTCCTCTCATACAAATACCGATTCAAAAAACACGAATCTTCTAGCTGACCACAATTTTGATTCTCAAAACGATTTAGATTTAGAATCGTTTCCAACAACTATGTTTAGGGGATAGAAGTTGCAGGCACATCTTGTTTTATGGATGTGCCTTCAAATTAGGCATGAACAGAATATCATTATTATGATGATATCCCTAGTGAAAACTATTTAGCTTCTGGGGTGAGTCAAACATCTGCTTAGGGACTTGTTAGCATTCATGAAAGTGTAACCTTGTTGTCATCTGTATAAATTGGCTTTTCACTTATATCTTATATGGCTATAGATGTGAAGAAGGGTAAGTTTCTTTCATTATTCGTTCTGTTGCCACTGTTTATTTCCTAGCTTTTGTACCCTACCAGTAGAACTTCTATTTTCCCCTTGTGTTGTTGTTTTCCTTTTATAACATGATTTTTCAATAGAGTAAGAAGTAAGAGGTCACAATTGGATTATCTTGATTTGGAGCTTGTTTTTTTTGATGCTACTGTTTCGGAGGAACTGTTGTGGAAGCCTGAGGATTACTTTTTTTTTTGGGACAAGTTAAGGACCAAATTGGGCATCCTCATTGGCCTATATGGCAATTGTGAAAGAAGGTAGTCTTCAATGGTCCTAATCAAGTGGAACATCCAAATTTTTTGGAAAGAGTAATGAGAGATCGTTTTTTTTTATCCGAAAGGCCAAAAGGTAAATTAAGCTGTGAATGGTGCCTTGCCATGCTGGCACACCACCCACGCAAGTGGAAATATAAGGTAGTTTTATTGCAATGGCCGGAAAAGGGGTTACCAAACAGGGCCTAACTCTCTAGGACAGTGTAAGAAACATAGTTTGCATCATGCCTATGTGCCGCATCGTGAAAGATCGCGTTCTTAAGTCCCTGCCTAGACCAATGCACCTTGCTTGAGTCGCGCGCCTAGGTGGGTACGTTATGCTTAAGCTGATGGGGCCCTTTTGGGCAGCCTTCCCCTAGGCAGGTGCATGGGAGACCAAGGTGGCACCTGTGTGTGCATCACTCCTCATCTTCTTAATTATGCATGTTTGTGCTATTGTGCATTTGTGTTTGTGTGCACGCGCGTGCATGTGTGTCACCTTGAAACCAAGGTGCTTGCATCACACCTAGGCAATGTGTGTGTGTCACCTGAAAACCAGACACCTCTAGCAGCCTACACGGCACTTTACTCTTTTTTTAATATTGCTTTATAACATTATTTGTCTAAGTCATAATTCCATCCGAGAACCTATAAGTAACAAATTTTAGAAGATAGAATATGATGTTGATATGTTCAACTTCTATTTTGCATGTTTATTTTCGCAGGAACTCTCTAGGATTATTTGTTTAGGGAAGCCAACAGTGTAAGCTTTGTTTGTTTTGTGTAAGCAATTGTTGTGTTCCATGAGCTTATATGTGAAACCCTATTAGAAAGCAGAAATTGACATTGGTAATCTCTACTTTCTTTGTTTGTTTCATCACAAAATGTGTTAGTTTCTCTTGGTATTGGATGTTTTATAGCTTAAAATTGAAAATTCTTTTGTTTTGTATTTGCTACGCTGCATTCCCGTGCTTGAGTTCTTTCTTTGTCCTTATCTATCAGGTTGCTTTATTCTTGAACTTGGGTATTCATTGTATTTATTTGTCTCATCTAACTAATACATATATGGTATGTTGCAGAAATCAAAGAATGACTGAAGATCAATCTGTTGTTGGTCGAAGGCGGATTTACTATGATCAAAGTGGCGGTGAGGCTCTTATTTGTAGCGATAGTGAAGAAGACACTATAGATGAAGAAGATGACAAGAAAGAGTTTGGTGATTGTGAAGATTATATTTTGCGGTTGGTATAACCATAAAACTTTATGAAAAATTGGAGCCTGGATAATGTCATGATGGCTATCTACTGACAAAACTTTGAACTGTGTTATTTTGGTTTTCATAAATGTTAAAGTAGACATGGTGTTGCTCAAACAAGTAAGATGCCTTGCATTAATTGTTGCTCAATTTCATTTATATATTTTGGAATTTTTTTTTGCTATTTTTCTTATGCTAATACAATTTTATTAAATACCTTCTGATATCAAATTTCATTTGAAGTGCTATAAAGTTTTATTGTATTTAAATTATTTTATGCTTACTGCTTCTTATAATTGATGGTTTCATTCGATATATATATATATATATATATATATATATATATAAAAGCTACGGTCAGCCCACCAGCTGATGGAATAGTATAAGGCCAACGACCTAGATTGATTCTGGGTAGATCTGATGATCAGGACTGTATTTCGTAATATAGTTTTAATATTTTCTATATAAATCCAAATAACATGAAATTTGGGGCCTCCACTCTTCGCATCAAAGCGCATGTAAAAAAAATATTAAAAAAATAATTTTTCAAAAATAAATTGACCAAATACCCTTGAAACTTTTCAGGGGTATTTTAGTCAACTTATTTTTTGCGAATTAGTTATTTCATATTTTTATTAGATTCTACTATTTTTAAAGAATAGACCGTCTAAATTTCAAGTAATTTGGATTTGAAAAAAAAATTAAAAATCAAATACAAAATGAAATCGTTTTCATTGGATTGGCTTAAATTCAATTTGGACCGTTGGGCTTACACTATTCCGTCAGCCCATGGATCGACAGTAGCTGCCATTGACAAGTGTGGCTCCGATACCCATTTTGACCTTTGCAAGACCCTGGGCAACTCAATAAGCCTCCCTACATGCATTTCAATATGAGTAACCATCAGAGTCACCTGCTGTAAAATCTCCTCCATGGTCTGTGGTCTGTGCTAGGGATATGGGTACTATCTAACCTACTGAATGACATCGAGTGAGACCACTAGAATGCATGTGGAGCTTGCGTAACAAACAACCTTAAATGTGTCAAAAGGGCTAAAGTTTCTATTATTTGAAGCTTATATTCATTGTGGGACCTTAACAACTTTATAATGTTGACTTCTGAAATTTTTAAACTACCCCAATTTTTTGAGCAATCATCATTAGTGAAATTTGTTTTTTAGATTGCTTGTATTATTTTGAGATGTCTTCTTTGGGATCTAATAGATTGGTGATTTGAGTTGGAAATATGGCTCTAACCCAAATCCTTTAGATAAAAATTGCATAAGATACAACTACTATGAGAAGGATACACAAGGGGGTATAAACTCTTTAAGAAACATCTTGCTCGTATTGGGGGGATGTTGCCCCATGTAAAAGAGTTCATGTTGCTATTACAGAGGAGATAAAAAATCATATGAATATTGTAAAAGAAGAAAGAGGAGAGAGAGGCATCCATAGCAGTGCTGAGGTCTGGGGTTCATGTCAATTATGATTATGATGAAAGTGTCAGGAGGGGTGTGAAGAGGTGGAGCAGCTTGTTTTCTCTCAGACTAGGGAAAATGGAAATGGTGTTGGAGTTGGTTATGGGGGTCGGATGCCTTAGGGACTTCAGGTTAGGGGGCCTATGGATTGGTTTTTGCCTTGGCCTGACCTTGAGGTTGCAGGTGAGAAAACAAAGAAAAGAAGCAAACAACTATTGAGAATAGAATCAAGAAGGAAGAGAGAGACAAAGAACTGCACAGTATAATGCTAGATGGTTTTGTGAGGCAGGCATTCCTTTCAATGCCGCTCGTCTAAGTAGCTTCTACACTTTAGTAGAGGCAATTGGCCAATTTGGGCCTGGGTTGAAGGCCCCAACCCCATATGAGCCTTTAGAGCCTCTTTTGAAAAACAAGGTGAATGTCATGAGGGAGATTGTGGAGTCACATAAGCATGTAGGGGCTCATTATGGGGTTTCTGTTATGGCTGATACTTGGATTGATGGGAAGAGAAGAAGCCAGATGAATTTGTTGGTAAATTGTTCTTTAAGGATTTTTTTTTGGGTTTTATTAATCTTTTCTTCCTCTTGGTCTTTGTATGTAAGTTGTAAACTTGTAACTATGTATGGATTATGGATATGGACGTATGGAGTATGAAGGAGTATATGTGGAGTTGTGGACTATGGACATTTGATATGCCTTAACCCCTATGTGTTATTTCTTTCCTTTCCTTGATGATGAATCGATGTCTTGCTGTCTTGGATTATATTTTGCTATTTTTATTGTGTGTATGGACTATGGAGTGCATGGAGTTTGGATAATGGTATGGACTATAGAGTATGGTCTAAACCTCTTGATTCTCTTACCAACTGGGGCTTATAGTATGAGATAAGTGTTGCATTATGAACTTTTGATTCAAATATTGAACATTTTGGATAGCCGCGATGAATCTTGATCGTCCGGTTTCCTCATTATAATTCGAATCCTCCATGTTGGAATAATTCTGGTCCAGCACAATACCAAATTGTAGGCATGACGAGATCCATTTGTTAACGAAGGAATAAGAGTCTTATTACAAATTTCTGATCCCGAAGCATTGGACTTCCTCTCCCTATCTTCACTGCTGCATTCAACATTCCTTGCCTACTCTGGACCTGACAACCTGGTGTGGACTCCATCCCCTTCGGGTTCTTTCTTCGTAGCCTCGTTCTACAATAAACTCTTGCAACCAGCCACCTTCCCTCACTCCCCGATATTTGTTGTCTCTAAGGTGTGGTCCTCTATGACCCCACCTAAGGTGCGGTCCTCTATGACCCCACCTAAGGTGCGGTCCTCTATGACCCCACCTAAGGTGCGGTCCTCTATGACCCCACCTAAGGTGCAAGCATTCAACTGGATAGCTTTCTCCAAAAGAGGTCTCACAGTTGACCAGCTCCAATGGAGGGGTGTCCCCATCCCAAACTGCTGCATCATGTGTCTCTGCGAATAAGAGAGCAACCCTCACGTCTTCATCCATTGCCATCTTGCACTCAATCTGTGGAGTCGACTTCTCTGCCTCTTTGGCATTACTTGGGTAACTCTTGCTTCCCAACTTCTGTGCAACTTTGGCCTTACTTGGGTTACTCCTGCTTCCCTACCGGCCCTTCTCAAAGTAAGGATGGACACTCCATGGCCTAAAGTGGGTAGGCTGTTATGGAAGGCTTCCATTGCGGCTTTGGTCTGTCATTTGGTCCTAAAGAAACATGAGGATCTTCCGAGGAGCAAAGTGTGATGCCCCGGTTTTGTTCCACAAAGTCACCACTCAGGTTACTTTTTGGACTTCAAATCACAAGGGGTTCAAAGGCATCTCGACTTCGACCTTCCTACAACATTGGGAAGACATCCTCCACACCCACTCCCTTGAGCGAATTCATTTATGGTTAGATCTGTGGCTGGCCTTGCTCCCTACCTTGGTTCGGTTTAGGATGAGATTATGCATATTTGCAAGGATATGGTCTTCTTATGGAGGCATACTTGAAGGGAATCAAATGCCCTGGAAGCCGAATTGGCTAAAGAAGGAGCGGCTTCAAGTGTCGTGGATTCATAAGAGCTCGGGGCTCTTTGGGCTTCCTATGTTTTTCGGTCCTTATAAGGACTTTTGCGCTCTTGATCCTGGGTCTCTTAGCAACTGTTATAAGCCCCACCAATTTTTTGTATATGGCTACTCTCTACGGGAAAGCCTATTTTTTGCCGAGAGTCCTGGCTTGTGGGCCCTCTCGACGGACCACTTTAATCCTTCAATTCTTTAATACAACAGTTAACAACATAAACAAAAGAAAATATTGTCACATAATTTATCTCATGTTGTTAATAAACTTGTTCAAAATTTCAAAATTCAAACCATACAAAATTTTAAAAGTCTAATAGGTTGTGTATTAGTAATAGTCTCTAACTCTCATATGAGAAAATAATTCTAATGAGAAAAGAAAAGTTTAAGAAGCTTCTTCAAACCACAAAAAATACTTTTGATTCTTAGAATTAGGTATAACTAAGAGATTGAGAGCTTATGGAAATATTCTTTTAACTTTGGGGGTTGAAAACAACCCCCATATCCTATTTAAACCTTTTTGGAGGTCAAAATTACCCCCTTTGCTATTTTTGGCATCTTTGAAAATAAAAAAAAATGCACCCACCCAGAATTGAGCGTTGGGCGCACGCCTGACCCGCCTGGGTGCTCGCCTAGGTACAGCCTCCCAGGTTTTTTGTAACATTGATCATTAGATGGTAAAGTTTTTGTGTAAGCGACATCACTTCGAGAAATGCAGGGTCTCCATTGCAAACATGGGCATGGCCTATCAAACTTGAAGTGGTCCAAGATGATGCGTCAAACTTGACAATCATCTGGCGGCATAGTAGGAAGTATTCATGCTTACATCATGATGGGAAACTGGAAGCCATGGTAGAATATGTGATCAACATTGTGGGCTTTAACAAACTTGTGCTACTTTGGGAGATTTGGCTATCCTTCCTAGACGACCTATTCCTTGTACTAGTGTGCATAAAAAATGGATTGATGAGGTTGATCGCTACCCATCAATCCTAATTTGCATAATTTGAATCTCTGATCTGCATCATTTGGATTGGCGACCAAAAAAATAAAAAAAAAAAGAGAAAAATTATGTGTACAAGATTTACTATGTACAAATTACAATAGAAAATACGAAATGTGCTGTTGGTTAGATTGTGTGGTTAGCGACCACGAGGTAAGAGAATCAGTTCCTCGTCTTTTTCTTTTTCCTTTCATGTTAAAGATCTTGAGGTTAAAAAAGAGGTCCACATTAGACAAGGTGAAGCCGCTTGGGGTTGGTCGGGGCGGGGGCGGGGGCAGGGGCAGGGGCGGAGGGGGTAGTGGCATTCTTACCTTGTACATTTCACTAGAAACCCACAACAATAACCAACTAAGTCACTTCAATTGAGTTTATAACATTATTAAATATTATTTACTATATAGCATTAAAACAAAGGATTTT